AATATTAATATTAATAATAATAACAATCACTACACGTTTGTATTACTATTTTTTTTTTCTTTTATTATTATCATCATTTTTTTTTTTGTTTCATATCGTTCTTTAAAAACTTAAATTTTGGATTAATATCGAATTAATAAATAAAACAATAAATAAATAAATAAATAATGAGAGAGAGAGAAATGCTATCGGACGACGTAAAACCCAGATTTCATGTCCGTATGAAGAATTGTGTTGCCGATGGTGATGGCCACGGCTCCAATGGCAGCTCCATTTAAAGCCCAACTACTAGATAATAAGCATAAATCCTTTGTTTTAGCATCGTTTAACCAACCTTGCATTATTCCTAGTGCTCCACCTATAACAAATCCTATTATTAATCCGTCGACAAATCCTTTCATCGATGCCGATGATAAATCTCCACTTTGTCTCGATACAGACAGTTGTCTTCCCGTCCATATATCAGGTTTCGATATCATTCCCGATTGTCCTGGGAATAAATTCCGTAACATTCTCAATAATTTTGAATCATTTAAATCCGATAAATACATTTATATGTTTATTAATTTTAATATGTATTTATAAATATATATACATTTGTATATACACGTCGTAATTTGTTGTTTGTTTATTATATCGTGGAATAATAATAATAGAATCATAGCAAGTTTTTTTTTTTTTTTTTCTTTTTTAATTTTAGAATATCAATTATTTTGACACTTGTTTATGATGTGTGCACAAAAAAATTAATTTTTTTTTTTTTGGTTTTTTTCCCGTTGAAGAGGAAAAAGAAGAAATGGAACATTTAGAAGCGTACAATCGTAAACTTTAGCAAATATATTACCAGTACATGTTGCTGAACATTTTCTATCGAGCACGAATACGGATGAATTATATCACGAACAATGCGATTCCGTTTGCATTATGTTTGCTTCGATTCCAAATTTTTCCGAATTTTACGTCGAATTAGAGGGTAATAATGAAGGAGTCGAATGTTTGAGACTTTTAAATGAAATAATTGCAGATTTCGATGAAATTTTATCCAACGAAGAATTTAAATATGTTGAAAAAATCAAAAGCACTGGAGCAACTTACATGGCTGCATCCGGTAATGCATATAATTTCTTAACGAAAGTTTTTTTTTTTTTTTTTATACTACCTATGTATATTATGTTCGATTATGTATATATTAATTATTAAATAATTATTTAAGGTTTGACGAAAAGCACTTGCGACATGATAAATTTCCGTCACGTTACTGCAATGGCAGATTATGCATTAAAAATCCGTGAACAACTTGCAGATGTCAACGAACATTCCTTTAATAATTTTAGAATTAGAATAGGTAGTAAATTAATATTAAATTACATTTAACCGTCGACACAAAACAAAAAAAATTTTTTACATAATTAATTTAATCAGGTATAAATATCGGACCTGTCGTTGCTGGTGTTATCGGTGCCAGAAAACCTCAATATGATATTTGGGGTAACGCAGTTAACGTTGCATCCAGAATGGATTCGACCGGTATTTTAGATTCAATACAAGTAACGCAAGAAGTTTACGACATTCTATCAGTAAGAGGATATCCAATGAAATGTAGAGGAAGTATAGAAGTCAAAGGAAAAGGTTCAATGGTTACTTATTTTCTTCTTGGAAGTTCAAATCAAAAACAATCAATTGAAACTTATTCAATATCAAACGATATTTCAACAGATTTAAATTTAACGAATAATAAAACGTAAATTTTCTATTTATTTAAATGCTCAAATATTTTATACATATATATTTAATAGAAAACTTTATTATCTAAATTATTATTATTTTTTTTAATAAAAAAAAAAGAATATTTTTGTTAAATATTATTATTTTCAAATTTTATTTAAAAAAAAAATATAATTAATAAAATATATATATATATATATATATATATATATATATATATATATATATATATATATATATATATATGTATATATATATTGTGATATAATTTTTGAATCTATATGTAAATATAAATATTTAAGCATTTAAAAATATTAATTGTATATTATTATTAATAATAATATAGAAATTTATTTTTATGTTTTGTAAAAAAAAAAAAAAAACTAATAAATGTAAACATACCTGTATGTATGGCCATTTCATGTGTAATAATAGTTAAAGATGAACACAAAAAACACAAACACAAACACAAACACATAAACACACAAACACATACATATAAATAATAAATCTTAAAAACTTTTCTATTCATTTTAATATTTTATCACTTTATCATTTTGAAACAAACCCCCCCCCCCAATTTTATTTATTAATAATTGATACACTTCATTACAAAAGAAAATTCTCATTTTCCTAATTAAATTATTATCATTATTATATGTTTTTATATTTTAAATTATTTCCTAACAAATGCTTATGATTCTTTTATAATTGAATTTAATAAATAAATGATTATTATTATTTATATAAATTAATATTTTTTTAAAAAAACTATAATTTTGTTAACTATTCTATGAAGTTTATTGTTATGTATAAATTTTATATAAAATTATCTACAGTTAAAAAATGTCTTAGTTATTGATTATATTGACAAATAAATTATTTAATGTGTTACCACATATAATTGTAAATAAATTTTAGTTTTGTATAAAATGCATAACTTTTTTTATGTAATCTGCATATTGGTTGAATTCTTTTACAATCAAACAAAATCTTTTATAAAAATCTAAAAATTATTGTTGATAATTATGTTGTTATAGATAGTAATTAAAAAAAAAAAATGTGTATTCTTCTAAAAATAAAAGCAATTTAAAAAGCAATTTTTTTTTTTTTAAATTTATTTTAATCATCATTTGTGGACACATGTGAGAGAATTTTCTTTTGAAAATGGTAAAATTAAAAACTTACAGAAATATTCAATTTTTACTACTATATATGAATAAATCGTGTACTTTCGATAGATAACGAAAGAAATATTATATGTTGTACTATTTTAAACTTTTTTTCAAAAATAAAATGATGCATTAACATTACTTCACCAACAGTAAAAAAAACGTTAGGTAACTTTTCTATGAAAAATTTACTGGTAAATCTAAAAACTATTCAAAATAAACATTTGCAATCGAATAATATGTATAAATTGAATTATTTCAAACCGAAAATTCACTTAAAAGACATAATTATAACGAAATTTTACAACAACAGGTTTCACGAACACAATTTTAAAAATTCACCACCGGATTTTCGAAGTTATAAAACATGGCGGACTTACCAACGTACTTTTTAACAGTTGGTTAACCTGATTGTTTTGATTTAATCACGAACCTCGCGGTTGCCTTATTCAACTTGTGTATTAAACATGAGTTTTTTTTTTTTTTTTTTCGGATAGATTTTATTAAAATTTCGCTATATGTAGAAATCATTAAACATTGTTAATTCGTTACATAAAATTATTTAATTTTTTATTATAAATAGAAAAAAAAATGGGTAAAGTCAATAAATTAAGGCAAAAATATCATTTGAGTTTAAAAAAAAGTAAATCTCTAAGTAATTTAAGTCAACCTGATAAAGAAACTGATGTTAAGGAAAAATTAAATATATTTAAAAGCAATGAAAATATTTTCTTTGGCGTCAATATTTCTTACGATGATCTTGAAAAATCTTTACCAAAAGATTTGGATGCTCGTAGCATGATATCAACTAAAAGTCGAAAAGAATTAAAAGAAGAAGAAAAACATTTGAAAAAAAAAGATAAGCAAAAACTTAGACGTGAAAGATTTTTAAACAGTAAAAATACTTTTCATTAATTTTTTTTTTACATTTTAAATGTTGTCGGTGAATTTAACAAAAAAAAAAAATTAATTTTATGTTTTAGAATTGGAATATTCTCATCAAGAAATAAGAAAGTTAAAATTAAAAAAAAATAAAGAGAAAAAACCTTATAATAATATGAGTTCTTTATTAGAAGCTTTACCTTCGTTGGAATCGATAGACAATGATGTGCCTAAGAAAAAATTTGAAAAAAATAAATCTAAACCGAAAAAAGGAATACTGAAAGCTAAACAATTAAAAAAACAACAGTAAGTTATATATATATTAAAAAAAAAATGACCAAAATTTGAATGTTCTTGTTACACTTATTAGATTTTTTTAAAATTTGACTGTAATTTTTTTTACTTTAATTTTTATATTGTTTGATGAAATTAAAAATTTTTTTAAATACATATCAAGGTTCTTGTATTCTACATTCATTATATATTATAATAATTTAAACAAATTATATTAATTTAATTTAATTTAAAATTTTAATTTCAAAAATTTACACAGAACTAAATTTATATATATCAAATTATAAAAAAAAGAAAAAAAAAGAGAGAAATTTAATATTTAGTAAATTATTTCATTTTTTGTTTCAGGTCAAATGATTCAAAGATATTTAAAAAAATATTAAATAATAAAAAATTTCAATTAAATCCATTCGATACAGTTAGCGAATTCATTAAACAAAAAGTTTCTTATGAAACTTCTCAAAAGCATTATTGATACAATTTAATTTTTAATATAAGTTAAAATAAAATATTAAATAGTCAATTGAAAATAATTTTTTTGTATTCCATTATCCTTTTTTATATATATTATTGTTATTTGAAATTCTTTTTTTTTTTTTTTAAAAAATTCGATTTGTTCGATAAAAGTTTAATGGTAAAACGTAAAACAAAAGATGATAAGATCACTTTTTTTTACTTTTTATAAAAAGTTTGTTGAATTATTTTATAATAAGATTTTTCAGGTTGTAAAAACATTCAACAATATATAAATATATTATTTCCAAATTGATGAATTTTAAAAAATTTATTATTTAAAAAAAAAAATCCTTCATTCGACTTATGGGAACCGATTTATAAATAAAATAATAATAACATTCATAAAAGAAAGAATTATTTAACAAAAACAATAACTCATATTTTTATTTTAATCATAATAATAAATAATAGAAAGAAAATTAACTTATAATGAATTCTTTTATCCTATTCTTTTATTATTTTTCATTTCCAAAACAAAAGGAAAAAAAATGGGAATTGTAATAAGACATTTTATATAAATATGAAAATTTATGTAAATGAAATATAGATTTATTTTTACAAGTTAAATTAGCATATATTGAAAATAATAAAAAATAACATTTCACCCATAATAATATTTGATTTTGTTATTTAATATCAATAAGATTATAAATTAACAGTATTAATAACAAGCAATTTACAAGTAGTGCATTAAAAAAAAAAAAATGAAAATTCATCGTTTTTAAACTACTTGAATTAATAAAGAATTTAGTTTTACATGAATAAAATTATTTTTAAAAAAATGAATTTTGTTTTTCTTTTTTAAAAAAAAAACAATATTAAGCAATCAAATGTAATTTTCTGTAATTTTTTAGACTAGAAATAAAATCAACTACATAATCAGTTTTTAGAATAGAATGTTTTTTTTTTTTTGTTCAAATATGTTTATTAACATTAAAGAATGATTCGATTTTTTTTTTTTTTTTTATTTTAAAAAATAATGCAAAATATTTTTTAACAAATATACTATTTATCTAACAAGTCTGATTAAAAAAAAAAAAAAAAAAAAAAAATTTTATTAAGTAATTTGAAAATGCAGGTGTTTAACTTAAGTTATTATAACCTTTTTTTTCCCTCGTAATCAAAATCAATTTTCATGTAGAGTTATTATTTATTTTAAATAAACTCCTTTTGATATTATTTGTTTGCCCCCAAGGACATTACCAGCTAACGACCAGTCCCAGGGGGCACTATTGCCTTGCCACGGTCCTTCCCACGTAATTTAATCCCTACATAAAAAAAAATTATTAAACATAACGTTATTAATAAAAAAAAATTTTTTTTTGTTTCGTTTAAACTCATGTAACAATTTACCGAGAGCTTTCTCCATTTTTCCCAGTACAGCTTGATTAGGTATGGCTCTACCTGCTTCATAATCGTTTATAACTTGTGGTTTTTCATTTATTTTCTGAAAATAATTACATTACAAATAAACAAAACTCGTGGAAATCGAATTAAAATAAAATAAAAAATTGTAATGATTGTGTAATTGCCACAAGTCTAATTATTAATATTTAATGCACATAAATTAATACATAAGAGTAGGTATATAATTATTATTATTAATATTAATATAAAATTATTCACAATTAATAATATTCGAAATAACTTACAGTTGCCAATTCCTTTTGAGACCATCCTTTGCCTTGTCGACCTTGTTGAATTAATTTTCCAGTGTCCAATGTTATTTTTTCATGTTTCAGTTCTTCTGTTTCTCTATCTAATTTAGCAATATTTTTTGTCACAACATGTTGTTTGTTTTGTCCTCCACCATCTGTAAAAATATTTTTTTTTTAAAGTTTCCTTATAAAAATTAAAAAAAAATTAATTAAATTTTAAAAAATCGTTTGTCCTTACATTTTTGTTGTGTTTCAATAACAGCCCCTTGACGTCTAGCTGCATTAATGGCCTAAAAAAATAAAATAATCACACATTTTATTTAATATGTCACCAAATTTAAAATTTACCAATTAAAATTATAATATTGGGAAATTGAAAATTTAAACAAAAACATTTTGAAATTTTTTTAATATTGGATGTAAACCTTATAAGGTAAAGATCATTTTTTTTTTTTTTTTTTTTTTTTTTCAAAATGTAAAAATCATTATTTAAAAAAATATTTAATAAAATACCTGTTCGGTTCTCATTGCAGAAGCTTTCGGTGGTTTTTTTCGTAAAATAGTTACAGTTTCCCAATCAGACATTTTTCCTCGTTGATAATATTAAATTAATTTAAAATAAATTAACAAAAATTTGTATTTTTTTTTTTTTTTTTTTTTTTTTTTTTTTTTTTTATGAAAGCAAGTGAATGATCTCGTAAACGTGGGTTCCTTCAGAAATTAACAATTTTAAACATTCTACGCAACAAAAAATTTTTTTTTTTTGATATTATATTTTTTAATTTTTAATCAAATATATAATAAATTGATTAAAACAAAAAAAAAAAAAAAACGTTTTTCATTTTAATTTTAATAAAATCATTATTATTTAAAATCACGTTAATATAATTAAAAATTCTTTTGTTTTACATATATATATATATGTATATGTATACATAAATGTAGTAAATAAAAAAAATTTAAGTTGTCACTCCTAATCAATTTCCGGCTTAAACAACATGTATTCAGAGATTTATTTAACTTTTATTATTTTAATATTTAATATTAATTTTTATAAAGTATTTGCAGAATTTAGATCCGATGATTGTGCACATTTAGGTTATAATAAAGCAAATTTATTATGTTCAACGTGTGATCAATTAACAGAATTTAAATTAGATACACTGAAGTAATTTTTTCTTATCTTTCCATAATAATATTAAATTAACATTTTTTTTTTTTTTTTTTTTAAAAAAATATTATTTATAATTTTTTTTTTTTTTTTAGGGAAACATGTTACGAATGTTGTAACAAAGATGATGTTCAAGAAAATATTAAAAAATATGCAAAAGCAAGATTAGAAGTATGCACTTGTAAATTTGGAGCTTATCCTCAAATAGAAGCTTTTATTAAAAGTGATAGACCGACTAAATTTCCTAATTTAACAATACGTTATGTAAGAGGACTTGATCCCATAATTAAATTAATGGATAAAGAAGGAAATGTTGTCGAAACTTTGGCCATTGATAAATGGAACACTGATTCTGTCGAAGAATTTTTAAAAACATATTTAGAACCAGTGAATAATGTTAATTTAGATTATTTGAAAACTAATTTGGTATGATAAAGCTTTAAATACAATAGTTAACTCATTTTCCAGTATCTTGTAACTATTTTTATATTTAAAAATTTTTAATATGTATAAAAATTAAATTCCTTTGTAATTATTCGTGATAATTTTTAAAGATCAAATTTTCGTTGAAGAAGTTAAATGGAAATAATCGAAAAACATTTAAATAAGATAACAATATTAGGACTGTTAACTTTTTAATATTAAAAATTCATTGTCAATTTACAAAATTATTACTTAATAAATAAATAATATTTTTTTAATTTTTTTTTTTTTTCATTATTATTTACTTTTTATTGATATTTATAATAAAAATAAAAAAAATTAAGCAACTCTCAAATTATATGTACTAAGTAATCTTAAGAACGATTAAATTAATGGCCTAAAAATATTATTTGATGTACTGTAAATTGAATTCTAAAAATAATAAAGATGGAAACATTTGCATCATGAGTTTTTTATGTTTTAATAATTAGATCAGAAAAAAAAGAAATTACAACCATTTTTTTCTTTTGTATAATCAAAAAAAAATTCTATCGATTATGTTAATTAACACTAAACTATTTTTTTTTTTTTTTTTTTTTTTGTAAATTTAAAAAGTTTTAATTACTTTCGAAATCAAACATGGAAAAAATTTTGCTTTTGATAAGATTTTTTAATAATTAATTTTTCATGTATGCTAAACACATCACAAAATAAACAATCATATAATTTTAAACAATAATCGAAAGAAATTTATTTTTTCACAATTATATACACAATTTCAAAAAAATTTTAATTTGTTTTAAATTTTTTTTGTATTGAAATGAGGGAGTAAAATTAAATCATTTTCTGTGGAATTTTAAGTAAAATTTAAGATGAAAAAATTTACTTTAAATAATTTAGTAGTTTTTCAATTTTGTGAAATTATGGTTATCATGAATATATTTTGAAAAATGAAAAGGAAAAAATAGTATCGTTAAAGTAGTTAAAAATCATTTATTGTTCTCAAATATTATAATTTACATTATTTTTTTTAACTTGTAATAAGAATCCATAAGTCACAATAGATATTTAATATTGAAACACACTTAATAAAAATTTTTTTTTATAGTCTCATCCTAAATTCCAAATTTTTTAAAAAAAATTTTTAACGGAAAAAAAAAAATTTGAAAACAATGAAATTATTAAAACCGATATCAAATTTTACGTGGCCTTTACATTATACAATAGTTATTGATTTAAAAAAATTTAATCGAAAAAATAATAATAATTAAAAAATAACGTATTTTATATGCAAAGTATATAATTACAAAAATAAAAAAATTAGATGTGTTTTTTTTTTTTTTAAAAAAAAAAAATACCGGGAAGAATTTCGGTGCAATCGAATACGATTATTAAAATAATAGGAAGTACGTCATCAACAGAAATCTCTGAGTAAAATATATTTTATAAGTTTAATAATTTATTAATGTTTAAAATTAGTATTTTACGCATAGAAATCAACGTAATTAATAATATTATATACTTTTTAAAATTGTTTTCAAGGTTTTGTCAAATAAAAACTTAATTTTTATTTCAAAATTTTAAAAATAAAATTATGGTTTCTCATTAAATCCGCATTCGTCGACAAAATGTAGTTTCCTTTTTTGTTAATGTGTTTTCTGTAAGCTAAACATAAAAAAAACATATCAAAATACTTTACGTGTCCTAGAAGCTAACGTTTTAACATATATTGATTTGACGCTCAAAGTTACAGTAAGACGCAACATTACAAATCGATTAAAAATGGTGAGTTAGATTTTAGCCTTTTTTGGAAATTGTTTTTATTTTATTATCTATAAATAATTTGATTCGATTAAGTGGTTCGTTTAAGTTTTAGTAACGTTTATTTTCCGATTTCAGGAGAATTCAGACGATCAGTTTTCATTAAAATGGAACAATTTCCAGTCAAATCTTGCGACTGGGTTTCACGATCTTCTACAGGAAGAAGACATGGTGGACGTAACCTTAGCTGCGGAGGGTAAAATGTTATATGCACATAAAATTATATTATCCGTCTGCAGCCCTTATTTCAAGGACTTATTTAAAGTGAGTACAAATAAATTATATTTAATTATTATCGAAAGCGTGGAAAACAATGTGTGCTTGTGTTGGCTTTGTTTAAATTCAATATGGCGATTTCAAGGTCAGAGAAATCTTGGGCGTCTCCTATTAATATATGTTTGCCCGGTAAATTAGCATCTCGTTTTTAATTTTATTTCATTTTTTTATCGTCGGCCCCATTTCCCTTTTTAATTTTTTCATTTATACTCTTGTTCGTAATTATTTAAATTTTAATTGTTGGCGGCAAACATGTATAACTAAATGTATACATTTATCTACCGGTTAAATGTTTTGAGAAATTTTTTTTTTTTTTTTTTATTAAGTTAATTTTGATAACTGTATTTTATTTTACATTTAATAAGTATACTTCAAAGCAATTATCATACACGTGTTACATTTTTTCAAAACAACTATCGTATCATAATAATAATAATAATTGAACTTCGTCCCATTATTTTAATTAAATGCTAAACTCACAGTATTATTAAGGTTATTAAAACTGATAATGATTTTAATTTTAATTTTTGATGTATTACTAACATTTTTTTCATAGGTCAATCCATGCAAACATCCAATTGTTATATTAAAGGATGTTGGGCATCAGGAATTAGCAGATATGCTAGATTTTATGTATAAAGGTGAAGCCAGTGTTAGGCAAGAAGACTTAGCTGCATTTTTAAAATTAGCTGAAACACTTAAAGTAAAAGGATTAGCTGGTGATAAGGTTTGTATTTTGTTAATAAGTACGATTATATTCGATTTGTTTCCTTTTTTTATTTGTTTTTTTATTTATTTTTTTTATTTTAGGAAGAAAGTAGTTCTGTTCCACCCCCTCAATCTCACAGAAAGCCATTATTAGTTCCTAAGAAGAAGAAAGAAGTACCAGCATATGAACCTGAAGAAGATTCAGCTGATCCTGATTTTAATCCAGGAGGTGAAGTTAAAAGAAAAAGAAAAAGGTAGGTTTTACCGAATTAATAATTAACATTTATAATAACGATTAAAAATCGAGAAATTTACTGCTGAAATCAATTTATTTATTGAATTATTTTTTTAATTAATTATTGTTTTATTATTTCGATATCCATTTTAAAAAACTTTATTTTTTGTCAGTATTCTCAATAATGTTTTTAATTTTTTTTTATTAGAATTTCTTCACCGCAACCAAAGACTGAAACCACTTCCACAAGTGCCACCAATAACACTTTTGTACCTCTTCCAAAGCAGGAAATTGAAGAGCAGGTTGAATTTCTTGATGATACCACCACTGATCCTTTAGTACATTTTATTACCGGAAAACAAACAAAACAAGAAGAAGATGGAAATGAATTTGAGGACCCCAATCAGGAAATGACTGGTATGTTAAATGAATTGATTGATTTTTTTTCAAATATTAATTTTAAGCCGTTTAGTATTGAGTCGTATTTATTATTTCGAAAAGGTTTTCTAAAGTATTATTTATTATTATTATTATGAAATAACAAGTGAATATTTTATTTAATTCTTGTTTATAAAGTTGCATATGTTTATTTAGTTAATTTGTTTTTTTTTTTTTTTTTTTGTCTGCCATATGCAGTAATTAAATGAATTTTATCCCCTTTTTATTTGAAAATTATTTAAAATATCAAGATTACGATTTACAAAGTAGTATTAAAGGGGTTTTTTTTTTTTTTTTTTTTTTTAATATTAGTTATTCAAATGAAGTCGGAACAGTTTTTGTTTTAATTATGTTTTTTTAAAAGCTTTGTTTATCATAATTAAATAATTAACTAATCTTTAATGTTTTATTTTGAAAAGGAGACGAAACACACGAAGATTTAGAAATGACGGCTGGACCCTCCGAAGAAACGGAGCAGGTGCCCCAAGGTAGGATTTTATTTTTTTATACAGTCGACACAGCCACAAGGATTTTAATGTTTACGTTCGAAATAAAAAAAATTTTACGAGATTTTTTTACGTTTATTGAAAACGGTTGAGGAGGGAAAAAAAAAAACAAAAAAAAAAAAAATGGAAAATTTTAAAAGGCCGGGAAATAAACATTAAAACCTTGTGGTTGTAAAGCTTTTTTTTATAAAAACAAAAAAAAAAAAAAAAAAAACTAGAAAACAAAATCATCAGAAGTATGTTTATTATTATTATTATTATTATTTTGTAATCACTTATTCGTATCTTTTCTAAATTTGAATTTACTGTTATTATTATTATTATTTATTTATTTATTTAAATTTTTTTTTTTTTTTTTTTGATCGTTGCTGAAAAGTAACGTATAAATTATAGACCATAAATAAACTTCTGATGACGTTTATTATTTTTAACTCATCTTAAATGCACATTATTGGTTCATTCGCATTAATTTTTTTTTTTTTTTTTTTTTTTTTATTTAATTTTTATAATAATTAATTCGAAGAGTTTCGTGAAAATTTAACAAAAAAAAAAAAAAAAAATGACGAAAACTTTGTTGTTTTTTTTTTTTTGTAAGATGGCGGATAACATTTTGTTACCAATATTGTGCTGAAAGAGAGTTATAAATCATATGCATGCTGCAGTTGCTACCACAAAGGTTTTATCTTTTATGTTTTCTTTGTATTCCCCCCCCCTCCGAGTTGTTGTCTTCCTTTTGTAACGCTCCACTTATGTATTGCTACATGACCTCAAACGCTTCCTTTTTAAAAAAAAGATAACTTGATCTTGGGTTCTTTTGTTGTTGTCATAGGCTGCACACACACACACACACTTATTTAAGTTAAATAATTTTTCGACAGTAGAAAAACGTTTTTCTTTTTCCTCCTCCTACTCCTCCTCATCCTCCTTTTCCACCTCCCGCCATCTTCTTCTTTTGTTTTCCTTTACGTTTCTTTTTTTTTTTTTTTAGCACGACGATATGTCCACGTTCTTTTGTTTCTTTTCTCCTCGTCGTCCTCGATACAATTCCCATTTCACCCACCCTATCGCACATCCTCCTCCCGCCACGATTTTGTACATTTCTGACGACTGCAACATCATTAACGTGTTACTACTAATTAACATCCGTGTCGCAGGTACCGTCGTTAGCATTTCCAACTTTTCCTTAGCGTCGAGTTTTTCTTCTTCTTCCACGCACACTTCCTTACACCGCTTTTCTTCTTTCCCGTCATCCGTGAATCAAAATCGTCACTCTCACCCTTTTTAACTCTTTTTCATTCCTTTCTTCTTCTTTCTTATTTTTAGACGAACGAGTGTAATA